TTGTACTGGTAAGCTCTCATTTTTTGTGTGACCTTATGTTTTTCCGGTTCATGTCCCCGCTTCTTTGCTCCTTTGTCATAACGAAATGTTTCCCTTGTAACTTTTTTCTCCGTTTTAGTGCCATTATTACGAATTCACTCCTTCTAGATGTTGTCATTTTTTGTAGTGTTCCCTGTTGGTCGCTCTGCCTTTGCGTTCGTCAATTGTCCTGCGTCACTTCATTCCGCGCACAACAGATTAAAAGCTTCTCCTAAATGGAAGGAAGTGACTTGTTGAAAAAGCTGGCAAACAGGAAAATTTGCAGAAATTACAGCATACATCCTGAAAATGTAATTTTTTATGATTATTTCAACAAGTTAAAAAGGAAAGCGTTGGCTCAGGGCTATACCAATTTGGTTATTTCTTTTAAAAAAATTATGGGCTCCCTTTTGAAGTACCCCTTGCCAATTAAAAATAGCCTAGAAGCCTATAAATTGAAGGGGGTTGGTAAGCGATTTTCTTACTATTTTGAAAAGGCCCTGTCGCAAGGTGATCAAGAAAAGAAGCATAATAGTATGCACAATGAATGCGTCACAACGAATGAGAATTCCTCTCACATTTACACCCACATAAATAAAGTCATCGCAAGTGTCGATCGTTTTTTGAAGGAACTGGACAGTGAGGTTTATAATTTGAAGAGAATTGGCGAAGAGTCCGATGATAGCATTATCAGGAACATCAAGGAGATCAGAAATGATTACTCGAACAGTGATTATAACGAGCGGGATGTGAAAAGGAGAAAGCGAAAAGGTGGAAAAGAGAAAAAAGCAAGCGCAGATCGCGCTGGTGGGGTTGATGGGTCTAACCCGGCTAACCGAGCTGAGAGGGTTGATCCATCCGATTGCGCTAATCCTGTCGCCACTCATGCCGCCAATCATGACAGCAAGCGGGGTGAGGACAGTTGCCCCGCGGCCAACGAACTGAGCAGCTCGCCACAGTTGACCACGAACTCGTACACATACAAGAACAGCATCAACATCAGTGGCTACACAATCATTTCGAGTGGCACCAGAAATTACGAAAACTCCTTTTTGGGGGATAAGGAAGCATCTATCCAGAAAGTAGCTCCCCCGAATGAGCACGAGAAGAAAAAGAGATTAACGGACAAAAATAAAGAACGCAAGAAAACGAATGAAATCGAATTAAACGATTTCGAAAACAGAATCATGACTTTTCTCCACGAGAATGAAGATTTATATGACGACTGTTCACTCAGCACGGAAGAAATAACCATTGGATTTTTAAAATATTATGGAAACTCTGAAAAAGTATATATGAAGAAATTGCGTAGGCTTATAAGATTGGAATTCCTAGAAAAGCTAGACATTTGGGAAAATAAGACAGGAGGGGGCGTTGCCAAAAGAGGGTGCGTCCTGGATGACATGCATGACACACCCAGCAGTTGCACAGCGTCGAATGTCTTATCTCCATCGATCATGTCCAATGCGAAAAGGGATAAAATGAAAATCATTAAGAAGGTGAGGTTAACGGTAAAGGGGAAGGAATTCCTGCGGAGGGGGAAGCAACAGAGGGAGCAGGAGGAGAGAGAGCAAAAGAAGAAAGAGCAGCAAAATGGGGGAGAGCAGAAGACACAGGAAGATCCTCCCCATTCGAATAATTTCAAACCGAAAAAACCGACCGAAGATGCATCAGAAGGAGAAGACAAATCTACTTCTAAGCCAGACAAGGAAAATAAAGTGAGCGAGTCAGACCACAGAATAAAATATGAGGACAGTTGCAAAAGCTCAGAATATTTATCAACAAAGATGAACGAGTCGGAAGAACGACTAAGGAGGGAAGTTACCTACAGTGATGGTGAAAATAAGCACTTGTTTGGAAAGGGCATAATCCTTCGCGAAAATATGTTTGATGATTTTTTTCCCCCTATACATGGTTCAAATGAACACAAGGGAGGATTACTACACGCGCGAGAAGAACATGGTGACACGAGGGAGAATAAGACGAAGGAGGATTACTCCGCAGAGTGGGATCACTGCTTTTCGGAGAATGAAATTTTGGGCAAGTGTGAGGATGCAAATTGTGGTATCTTTTTTGACATGGCGGCAAAGGATCCAGCGAATAACTGTTATTTCCAGAGCGGAGGAACCAATCAGGCAGAACTGGCCAGTAAAGTAGAAAGGATTCATAACGAATGGGATAGTCCGTTTAACTCTGGCTGCGCACCAACCAGGTCATGGAAAGAGGAAAAAAATGATCTCGCCAATTTTGAAGTCAAAATGGAAAGAAAAAAGAAAGAAATTAGAAAAAAATTAAAAATAAGTTTGAGGGAAAAAATACTAAAAAAAAAAAATGATAAAAATAATTTATGTGGTGAGGAGTACCAGTCAAGTAGCAATTCTGATGAGTCGGAGAAAGTTGAAGGGACGGGAAGTGGCCTGCCCGAAAGGGGTTTCCCCCATGGGGGGATGCAATCCAGTGGTGTAATTGATGAAGTTAAAAGATGTCCAGACGGGAACACTCCGAATGGGGATGAGCAAAGTGATGCAGAACCCCAACTGTTTCGCAGCTGCGAAGACTGCAAAGTGCAACCATGGAAGGTTAATCTATTCACTCCAGATTCAGAAAATGATGAGGGAGCGCTGAAAATTAAGAAAACAAACAAATCACTCTCCCGTAATGAGAATCACAACATGAGTGAAGACGTTGGCGAAAATATTTTCTTTACCATTGATGGGGATACATCAGATGGGAAAAGTGTTCATATCAGCGGTAGAGAGAACAGCGAAAGAAGTAGAACAAAAGGGGAATATACCCGTGGTAATCTCCTAATGGAGAAAACTCGCCAGTGCAACTTCTTTTGCACAGAGACAACATCAAATTTGAGCAATAACAGACAAGAGCGCAGTGATGAGGTAATTGATTTGTTTGCAGAAGAGGGTGTATGTGAAAAGGGGCGAGATGTGTCTGGTAGGCGTATTTCTTCACTGGCGAGTAAAACGGAGGGGAAGCGGAAGTGGAGCGCCTCGCTTAATAGAGTGGAAGCAGAGTTAGTAAATAAACCAAAAAGGAGAAAAAAAAAGAAGGGGGAGAATCGGTTGGACGCAGAGGAAGGAAAGGGTCACGCAGGAGACGAGGAAAGCACAAAAACTAAAGGAAAGAAGGGTGATGACCAAACCAGGGGGGTTCCGAAAGGAGAGCGTAAAGCAGGCCAAAAAGCAAAGCGAAAGACAAACCGCGATGCAGACCTCGATGCAAACCCTGATGGGGACACACAAAGCGCAGCGGGCGAAGAAGTGACCTACGGACCTTATGAAATAGTCATGGTAATCGACAACAGAGACATATCAGGGACGAGTCAGGAGCTCAATGAAAAAATGAAAAAAATATTCCAACGCAATGGAGTGAAATACGTAACTAGGAATCTGCCCCTGGGTGATATCATCTGGCTGTGCAGGAGAAGGATTTATAATGCTGGTAAGTCGAAGAGAAAGAGGGGCAGAACAGGTGGGAAAAAGGAGAAGCCATGGAAGGAAAATAATCCGGGGAAGTCGCGACAGAAGCAAGATTATCACGAATGGAGTGGAGAGGCTAGCCAAATGAGCAGCCTAGGAAAGAGCAACGCTCACTGGAGTGGAGGTTACGACCAGGTGAAGGAGAACCAGGGGGGTGGAGAAGAAGAAGAAAATGCGGAATACGAGGAGCACGTATTAAAATGGATAGTAGAGCGGAAAACATTGAACGATCTAAGTGCAAGCATAATCGATGGAAGGTATGATGAGCAAAAATATCGTCTCATGAGATCAAAAGAAACCTCACATATAATATACCTCATAGAAAACAGCAACAATTCATTTAAAAATTATACCAATTCGAGTAGAATTTCCTATGAAACGCTTCTAAATGCTCAGCATAGTATTCAGTTGGTTAGTGGGTTCTCCATATTGACTAGCCAAAGTTTGAGTCACACTTTCTTGTTATTGGCTGAAATGCACACAGAGATAGTCGAAAATATCCGTCTGATTTGTAACATCAGAGAAGGCGAACCGATAATATACAGTGATAAATTGGACGTCTATTTACGAGATAATTCATCCGAATGGGATCAGTGGAATAATGATTCCAAAAAGTCGAAGAACAATTTGGTGAAGGAAGTCTTTGGCAAGCAACTGCGATTGATTAATATGTGCGGGCCGGATGCCACAGAGTTGATTTTGTCTTTGTGGCCTACCCCGATGAAACTGAACGAAGCGCTAAATAAGTATACCCACGATGGAATCCTGGCCGAGAAGATCAAGCGGGTTTACCTCAAGGGCCGCGACCTTCTGGGGAAACGGCGCGTCAAGTCTCCCGTCGATACGAATGTATGGCTGGAATGTTTTTGCCCCCGAGAGGGGGTGATGGTGCTGATGGCGATGTATCACTTATGCTCATGCCCGCGTGAGCGCATGCAGACATTTTCTCCGTACAGCGCATCTCCACTGTGCAGGGGCCGTTAACACCTTATACATACACATCTACATATAACTATATCATATGCATGTTTGGCACCTGCACCCCTTCACAGCTCATTGCGCAGCTGCGCCACCTCTATGCCCCGGATTCCATTTAGACCACCAAGGGGAGGAAGAAGGGGAGGAAGATGAGCGGAAGATGAGGAAGAAGATAAGGCGGAAGAGGCGGAAGAAGAGGCAGAAGATGTGGCGAAGGAGAGGACCCCTGGGGGATGTCCCGCTGATATAGCCCATCAGCTTGACCGTCTGGAGCACCACCTTTTCTACCTCCTTGGGTGAGGCCTCTCCTGCTGCGTTACCTTTTCGTGTGACCATTCGTTAACTGGTGAATCGGTCACTATGTGAATTTGCTAATCTGTCCATCTGTGAATTTGTGGGTCTGTGCATCTGTCAATTTGTGGGTCTGTGCATCTGTCAATT